TCGCCCTAGACACTATACAGGTCTTTCAGGAGGCGGGTTTCAAAACTGCCTATTACGGCTAATCCGGGCTGAAAGGGATGCGACCTCCCAGCAGAAAGACCGAGATACTCGATAAACATGATCTCAACTAGGGAATCGAACAAAGGTCTTTTACTTGGTTGTACCCCCCTCAGCTCTAAGTTTGCCCTAACAGGCAGGCTCGAAGCATCCTGCATCCTTTACAATGAATTTTCTAAATTGTGTCGATGGGGGCATAAACATATTAAAAATCAAACAAAGCCAACTCAGACTCAAACTGGAAAAAGAGTGCCAAAAACATAGAAAGAGACAAAAATCGAAGACAGAGTGAATGATTTTGTTTTTGGTCGAGTTTGTTCTTAGAAAAGAATAGTTGCGACCCCAACAAAATAAACCATTGAGGACTGGGCCGAAGCAACATGCATACAGTACTGGTAGAAAATAAGTAAGATTTAGCATACGATTTCTTGGCACTTTTCTCTTGACTACGACGATCATAATGATAATACCCAAAAACATCCGAGCTAAAGCAAGCAAAAACAATTGAAAATAAAAAGTAACAAATATTCAAAGTGCCACCCCCCCCCCCTTCCCCCAAAAACATCCATTATCTTCTAAGCATTTTCTACAGTAACAATAAGTACTAAAAGCTGTGGTATGGTGTGGGTTAAATGCCCCTTTCAACATTGTAAAGTGATCAAAGTGACAGGACCTACAAATAAAACGTCCATCCCAATGAGAAAAAGCCAAGTTAGCGGAGAGTCTTGGAAACTGACCCAAACAACCCAAGTCCAAGAACATTCAACTTAGGCATCAGACCAAGGCTATCCTCACAGTATGTCTGTTGAGTATTTCAAACAAGACAGTAAAACACAACTAAGCTTAGAATTAACTAAAACGTACATTTTCATAACGTCAGTATCTAGGGCGATATGTTTAGTCCTATTTTTCTCTCCTTTCCCGCTACTGATTCGGTCTTTCTATCTTTACTTTTTCGGTAGCTGTGGATGCTCTCTTCTTTAGTTTAGTGAACTCAAACTCAAAATTAAGCTCAAGGAAGAATCGATCCGAGAATAACTCCAACGATTCTTTGCTCTGTCCAGATGAGAAATACCAGGTAGGTCAGGTGACCTCACATTCTCTCTGGGAACGACGTTTTCGTAACATCTGCCGTAGATATGAACACAGCAGGCGAAGGGTATCAACCTCGAAGATCTCTGTTTCCTTCCTGCTGGATTTTATCCATACACATCTTTTTTTTTGGTTTTGTCTTGGCGCCAATTGAACTTTCAATTAATAACACGTTATTTACTCTCTAAAATAAGATCTGGCAACATATATTTGAGCCTTATCTCACGTGTTGTATGTTTTGCGGAATACACCGGCATCTGTGGTGTAGCAGTTAGGCGCCTCACAGTCGCATGCACAAGATAGGAGTTCAGTTCCCATAAGGTTAGGCTGGGGGGTTTTTTGTTTGTTTGTTTGTGTGTTGTTGTTGTTTTTTTCTTGGGGGGGTGGTTTTGTTTTTTATTTTTATTTTTTTAAAGATTATTATTATCAATGTTACATATCATCATCATCATCATCATCATCATCATCATCATCATCATCATCATCATCATCATCATCATCATCATCATCATCATCATCATTTTATTACTATTATCATGATTATCAAAATTATTACCTTTAACATAATCGTTTGTTATCGTCACAATTCTTGTAATCAGTGTCCAGGGAGCTTGGCATCGGTAAAATTTGACCAAATTCAAAGTCCAAGCAAAACATACTTTGAAAAAAAATATTATAAAAAGAAAAACTTCAAGCCTGTTCAATGAGTGTAAAGGATTCAGAAATTGCTCTGGTTTTTATTTCAGTGCAGTAGTTGTCTCTGTGGCGCAATCGGTTAGCGCGTTCGGCTGTTAACCGAAAGGTTGGTGGTTCGAGCCCACCTAGGGACGCTACACTATTTTCTTTCAATCTCTATTCTTTCTCGCTTTTTTATCCCCTGCCCTTCTCTCTCTCTGTCTCTATGTTTCTGTCTGTCTCTTTCTCTTTTTCTGTTTGTATTCATTAAAAGACATATGTACTCAATTCTGTACTAACCCCCGCCCCCACCCTCCTTCATTCCTTTTTTTCTCTCTCCTTTTAACTCAGTTCTCACACAGATAAAGTCTCTTTTTTCTGCATTCATACGCTCTCTGCATTTCATTTCTTATCCCACTCACCTCTTTTTCTTTCTTTCTTTAGTCTCTCTCTCTCTCTCTCTCT